AGACTGGAATAAAGAGAATTCAGGTCAGCAAGGGGTCGCCGATTGAAAAGTGGGAAATGTGGGGTAGACATATTGTGGGCGGGGCCAGCCCGAGGTGGGCGGAGCCAGACGAAAATTCTCTAAAACTGTCCCAGAGCACTTCAAAGACCGGAAAAAAACGTGGATTAAGGTCAGTAGAGGGTCGCCGGTGAGGATTGTGGGGCACAAACGCCGACTGGTAACAATATAACAGATGAGCAATATTTTTCCATAGCCGTTCAATTTCAGGAAGTTGGCCTCCGAAGGCACAACAATGACAAGTCGTCGCTACTGCAAAGCAGTTATGGCCAGCTCGTAGGCCCTAAACCGCATACCACAGTTTGTCCCTGTTTTCCTCCGCATTCGATAACTTATTGCTTATATTCTAGCGCTACGTTGACCGAAGAAATAATCAGCTGTAACGCACTGCTTTCGCACAAACCTCTCTGAGACCGCTGCTGACGAGATTTGAGGTGTAACCCAGAAATATTGTACAACGAGGAATACGTCGTTCTATAGGATAGGGAAAGAATTTTTCCATGTTGTCCCCATCACAGCATGCTTCTCTTTCGTCTAGCATGCTATTAACCTCCTGAAAAAGCTTTTCTTTATGCCGAGCATAAATACAAAGAACGAAATAACACCTGTATGGCCTTCGCTAGATGTGTCGCTTGAAAGCCAGTTGAAAGATATGAAGCCATCAGTCTCGAAAGATCCACGCCTTCATTGAAATCATAACCACGGATGACTGGTGCATCTTGCGGCACCTTAACTGTCAGTAATTGTGATTGCGAAGTTTACTTTGGGAAACTTTGTACCAAAAAGCAAAACCGGTACAAATCTTAGTGGTTGCCATCAGCTGCCCGAACAGACGCTATACTCGACTGATAAAAAAATGTCGACAATTTCACAGTGTGGTCGATCACCACTAGAGCCAAGGAATCGTTCTTCCTCTCTACCCGATTCCTCCGCCATCCTTTCGAAGAGTTTCGCTGATTCGACAGTTCTCTTACTGAATTGAAATAATCCTCTCTCTCAAACCCATTATCATTTCAGTGACGCTCTTGGTATCAATAAACCGTTTACGGAGGGAACGGCTCAGCTGGCCTGTACACAGGGTGCAGGGGGGGGGGGGGTACTTGGCCGCTGGGGAGGGAGGTCGCATTTGATCGTTATTGGAAGAGGGGGGGGGGGGTCGTATGTGCCTTTGAGAGAAATTCGCCGCGTTGGGAAAAAATTTTCCCGGTTGTTGACTATTCTCGGTTTTTTCCCCTTTCACATTTGCTATATACCCCTCTAGTGGATAGCGCCGTCAAAGTTCTCTGTAACTACTACCTCCGCCGAAAGTTGAAAATAGTAGTCGGTTTCTGACGAGCTCCCTCCCACCCCCCCCCCCCCCCCGACAAAAAAATTTTTGGGAAGAAAGTAGCAAGTTTCGGGAAATTCCTTAAAAACTGATAGGAGGCTGGGAACTTGTAGGTAAGTGGGAGGTAAGTGTTATGGAAGGGGGACAGGGGGGATGCTCTTACTGAGACATGCACCACAATCACACCTCACTGGATTGCTGTACCTGCCTGTACAATACCAAGTTTGAATTAGGTCAGCGCCATGGTGTTCTATAACCATAAACATAAGTGCGGAGGCTAGACCAACTTAGCAATGCATCGCTATCAATAGATATGGCCATCAGTAGACCATTTGTAGTAGCACCTACACTCGTTAAACCATCTAGGCGTTTCCAGGAAAGCGAACATATTTCACACGACTACTCTCAAAATACAGCCCTCAATAATCTGCGAAAAGGTTCTCCATAACGGAACATGAAAGCGAATTTGATAAGAGAACGTTCATGTAAAATCGTATCATTGCACAGATCTGATTTTTCGCTATTCTACTATGGAATATTGGCAAAAGGCATCCCACTTACATCAGTGCTCGCGAAACATGACTGAAAACGGCCTTAAGAGCACTTCGCTTGGGTGACTTGTGATCTCAAGGAAGAATTGGGTGCGCAGGTGGTTGTGGCGCATGATGCAAGCATTCTCGTGCCAACGGAGTGTCATATCCATGCGCAGGAGAGCAAACTTCTCCTAGATCCGATATTTCTAGCAAAAGCTGGGATTTTGACGGACTTCGCAAGATGGAGCATCACATAGAGTGCATTCAGCCCGATGATCACATATATTTCAGCTACCCATACATTCTCCTGCACGAAGCCTCATTCCTAATCATTTTGCTGGTCCAGTCGTTTTCACAACTAAAAACGAATTCCGTCTGAAGGCAAGCCATCGAAAGCCTGGCCCTAGAACCATGATCCACTACGGCCGGCGGATTTGCTGCACCACTCTTCCGTAGTCAGGTCGGCATCTTACAAATTTGGCTGCATAGTGTAGCCAAACCTAGTTTTGCTTTCTGATCACGAATATGACACCCATTTGCAAAACACTTGTGGCGTGCGCGACGGGATCCTGACACCCATGTCCTCTTCGAAGCCGCTGGGCTAAAACCTGTTGGAAATGACCCTCAAGTCCTTCGAATCACAACACCACGAAAGACTTTTAGCAATGTCACCGCAACCTCTGCTTTGTTCATGCAATCAATGGGACGAGCCTTCGTCACCGCGAAGAAATCAAGAGTTCCACCTCGATAACAATGCAAACAGAAGAAAACCCACTCAAAGAGGAAAGTAGCAGTTAACAGAACAAAGGTAGTACTCTGCGGAAATTCGTGCGTACTGCTACAAAATGCGAAGTAATACAGCTTCAGAAAGAAAAACGTGGGACAAATGGGACAAATTAAAGTCGCTCGCGACTTGCGCGCAGTCTAAGGAATTACTCCGGTACTGATCCCCGCCCAGACCAATTCAGTTTCCATACTTTGCGGACGTGCTATCTGAGACTGACTTTGATTCGGAACACTACACTAAACTTTACGACGGTTGATTACACAACTCTTGGTGAACACCAGGCAGCATTCAATCGGTGCTACCTCTCTGAGTGGAAGTCAACTGCATGGCGCATCCCAAAACATTAATCCGGTATTTGGAATTTCCTCTTTTTATCTAAGTCGAACGGACATTCCGGAAAAAAATTTCATAGAGACAAAGCCTTTTTCGTTAATCATTTCCTGCTTGGGAAGCCATATGCATTCTACCTCAATCCAGGAGGGGCGTGCGATTTGAGTCCATGTACAAACTCACCCGTGCGCGTATGCGGCGCGGTTTCTTCACGGCACCGGGCGGGCGAAGGGTGATCGCTTGCGCCTCCGCCACTGTGCTTCAATCAGAAGCCCCTTTTATGCCCCATTATGTGGAAGGAGGAGGAGAGAAAAGAGGATTGAACAAATAGTGAACGCTCATAGGTGAGTTA